TATTGTACATTTCAAAATAAGCAAGAGCCCTCGGGCAGCTTCCCTGCTGATAATTAATGCATCAACAGGAGACGCCTTGCCGTGTTGCCTGGAGCATAGCGTGTGGGTCTGTAACCTGCATATACAAAGCCGTTGTCTCTATCACCCCACACTCCCTGCAGAATGTGCAGGTAGCAAAAAGCTGTGTGGCAGATGGTGGAGAGACCTTGCATTTGATCCCTGGAGCCGAACAGCTCCTGTTCCCTTGTTCAGCTATACGCCAGTATGCTTCCAGCTTTATAAGGTTGCATGATTTGGATAAAGGTGCTGATTTGAATTTGACTGCTGTTGTGTTTAAGAGCTGTAACTAAATCTAGACTTTGCTGCAGACATTGTATTAGTCTATCATGTCAAGGCTCTTATATTCATAAAGGTCTCGGCCATCTTGAAGTGGAATTTCCTGACACAGTGTAAAAATCTGACAAGTTAGTATGCCTGGAATGCTGTCGTCTTAGAGATATTGAGCAGTGACACAGTCATGCAATGTCGTAGTGCCTCAGTTATGCATGAAAGGAGAGCTCTGCTTTGACTGCATGCTGAAGGGGACTCTGGAGAACCCAGTGCACGACACTGACAGACAATCTAGGTCACTGGGGGTCAACCAGGCCTATCTCTTACATCCATCAGACCCCTGCATTCCATAGTACGCTGTTAACTCGCTAATGACACCTAGCAGTTCCATTCCCAGTAGAAACTGCCTGATGACATTACCCTATGTGCGCCGTCCCGAACATTACCACGCCCCTTTCTGGGTTAGCCACCGAGTGGCCTTTATAGGTCGACGAGGCAGTATCAGCCAATCAGAGAGGTAAGCAGTGTTTGTTCAATGGGTTCTCACCATTATGACTCAAACGCTTGTTATACATGAGGATATGAGTTTGCCTCTTCCTAGCTTATTTTCTAGCTGTTAGTCACAGAAGTGTCCCCATTATGGACTGATTCCTAATTCCAAAATCACCTAGTCTAGAGGCTCAAACTGAAATGACGAACGACACAGCAGAAGAAAAAGTAGTAATTTTGAATATGAGGAATTTCTACTGTTTTTCCTGTCATGGTTTTGTACTCTTGCTCATAAGCTCTCACGTCGCCTAATTTATCGAATTCTGCCTTAGAGTAAATTTTATTTTTAAATTAGACATGGGCCTATAATTTGAAAATATGTTCTTTTAATGTAATATGTTCTTTTATGTTCTTTTTACTGTATTGAACATTGGCGTTGAGACTAGTGTTTTTATACATGTAGCATGCTTTTTTATCCAAAATTCACACGGGGCTTATAAGTGAACCAGAATTCGAAATTTATTTAGTGTTGCATTATGCCACATAGCTTATCGTAGCTTGTGCTTCCATGCATGTATCTTGCAGCTTAAAAGTTAAAGTACCTGTTCTAAATAAACCAGCCCTCCCCCTTCAGTTATCTGCACGATCATTTTGAAACAGGGAAAGGAAGTACCAACCCACCAGAAAGTCCGCGAAAGCGGGCAACTTTTCGGTAACTTTTAAAACACATTAAGAATGCGTTGAGCAATCATGAAAATATTACCAATTACAAATAATATAATGCAAACTGGTGATGACTTTATGAAGGAAACCTGAATTTTAAAGAAAAATGTTATTTTTAGGCGAGGCAAATGGTACTGATTATTCGCTGAGTGTTGCGATTTGATTTATACCAATCAACTGTATTTTAGACTACGTGTGTGTTTAGCGTTACGTCATCGGAAACAGCCGCATCGCAAGGCAGAAAGTGTATTGTGAGTTGAGCAGGCTTCAACGATTTAGAAAGAAAGAATTGAAGAGGGAGAATGTTATATTTGTTTTTTTTTTTTCATGAAGACATCAGAGTCTTACAAACTCTGTTAAGTAATTATGGAATTGGGAGGTTCGGACAAAACATGCAGTTATTTTTCAGTTAGTAGACTATCCCTGTCGACCACATGGAAAGGGGCCCATATAGGCCTACATGTCTTCTAGGTTCATGGCATACAGGAAAAGTTTCTTTAACCTTACACTGCCCAGTGCAGTACGCTAACACCGCCTCGTTTAGTAGGTACTCTTAACACAGCCAAGTTTCTTACCAGGGTCAGAACTTTTAGACAGACTTGCCACTTTGGTGATTTAGGCGCATAAAATCTACACACTTAACATTAGTTTTGACCGCACTAAATATAACTTTGCGGCTTTTCCCAAATAGAGCTATTATGTACTTGCTAAGGACCTCAAATGTAATACAAACAGGTGGCCCAGATGCAGGATTAGGAGTGATGTCATTGGCAAAACACAAGCGACTTCAGAAATGCTTGATCCGTCAAGTAAATCGAACATAAAAGAGCAATTAAGAGCAGATTGTACCCTGAACGTACTCGTCCTTGTTTTGAGTCTCTGATACGACCTACAATCATAGCATATGAATAAGATACAGTATTGTGCTTTCTTTGGGATCGATTAATCTGCACGTTCCTTTGCTATAAAGTGTAAATCTGGAAAAACGGATATTTTCCCATATAAAATATCGAGAAGTAAAAGCGAAAGTAGCTTAAAAAACCCTTCGTACTGTAAGAAACCTACTTCGGGTATTTTAAGTAGGCTGCTCATTAAAAAGTACAGAATACATTGTTTAAAACATTACTTGACGTATTAATTTATCATTTAAAGCCAAAATCATTTGTTGCAATGTCATGTTTGTTGTATGAGAAAATACACTCTTAAAAGAAATAATTCCTAAATTGTACTATACAGCATTTACATAAGATGATTTTTAAAAGACAACTGTCGAGCAGAGCAAACCAAAAGGCGTGTCTGATTTAATTAAGTGTTTCACACAACAAAGACAACAACTGAGGCTTTCTGTCACAGTTTCGGGTGCCGCAGGTAGACACCTGTCCACGTGCCTGGTTATGATTGTCGTGTTAGTGCATAATTATCACATATGGGAATAGGAATAGTAGCTGACATGCAGGTAACTGGCTCTACCATAGTAACGAAAAAGAAAACACCAGTTCTCGGTTGAACTCACCCAAAGCTCCGTTCCCCAGCTCATTGTCCACTAAAGCTGCTCCGGGCTGCAAACTAGCCCCCCGCTCCGTAAGTCCCAGCTCAGCGCCCAGCTCAAGGCTTTACAAGGAAGTCTGGCTGTTGCAACACAATAAGAAACGGGAGGTTCAAGTTTTTCAACGAATAGCAGCGTTGCCAAAACTTTCTGAGAGACGATTTGAACTCTTACATCAGAACAAATACATTAATTCGCCACGGATATTAAGATTTTGCAGTAATTTTCGCCCTAACGGAGCTAAGGACAAATTCAAGTATCTATACGTCTTGCGATTAACTTACACACAGTTTCGGTTAAACATGACTGACCCGACCACCGCCCCCTTTCTGGATACGACGGCAGCGTACAATACTTGTATAATAATCAGAGCTGGAGATTTCAGGTCCAGAGAGTACAAATCCAGACCAAGATTTTGTTTCAACCAACCAGTTGAGGTCCCTGTGACTGTGACTCTTTATATTCAACTGGTTGGTTGAAACATAATCTTGGTCTGGATTTGTACTCTCTGGACCTGAAATCTCCAGCTCTGATAATAATAATAATAATAATAATAATAATAATAATAATAATAATAATAATAATAATAATAATCTAAAGCAGCTGTTTATTGACAAGTTTGGTACAGTTTTCAGATGAACACATATTTAACATGCATTCCAGTAAACATTAGAAAAGACAATGACTCCAGTACTTTCACGTAATATATAACTTCAAAATGTCGTACTATTAATTAAAGAAGTCAAATTGAATTTTATGCTCCATGCTGTATTAGTCGCCGTTTGTAGACTCAAGGGAGCTATTGCACAAACTATGACAAATGTTAATGTCAAACAAAGCAACTTTACCACCATGTTATAGCCTACAGATAACACGTGAAGCTGCAATCTGTAGGGAGACTGATGTTTTCTCCGCAACCTATAGGCGGCGGTATTGTTCGGTTAATACAGACAGCTATTGGAAAGTGGACGTGAAGACGAAACGACAACGTCAGGAATGTGACAATGCTAATTGCACTGGCGGAGTGCTGTTAAAATCTAGTCAAGCAGGTGTAATAATTCGAGGGAAAACTGTGTTTAATCAATTTCACTTGTTTAGGAGCAGTTATTAGTCCGTTATTTATTTCGCTAATTTTACTAATTAATTGTTTTTCTGCCCTGAACTTTTCCACGTTAATGTTTATGTAGAAGCACAATAACAGGGTTTAAAAGTTAATGTAATGTTTGATGACACAGGCAGGGCTTGGATTTTACAACCCTGCGATACAACGTGTCCTTTGTTCTCGCTGGTATTATCAGATTAGCGCATTGCAGTTGTCTGACCAATCAGGTGCTTCTGTGGTTGGATTACTGCCTGTGTAAAAAATCTTTATAACACTTCGTTAATCCAGTTGGGTGATGTTGAAAACAACTTATACCACCAGAAAGTAAGAACGTAGTCATAAGTGAAACGTCCTCAGCATTGCAAAGCTGAATCATTAACATTGTAACATTGAGAAAATGATTTCAGAGAAATTATTAGTACTATCTGTTAAAAATATGAGCTCGCTGCTGTTTTTGCACTATTTAAAGGAAACGTTTTGAGCAGTTATGCCTGAACACAGTTATAAGGAACAAATAGCAGTTATTTGTAGACAACACGATATTGTAATAGTCTGGAAGATCTAGTTGATGTTACTTTGGAAGTAAGTGGTTGATGAAGTTATCAGACCATTTGTTATTTTAAGGTTTTGAAAGCTACTAGTGCCAGTTCTGTTACCAGTGTGGCGAGTGTTTATTATTATTTAATAAACTATTAAGCTGTTAAAGTGTTAGCATGATCAAATTTTATTTTTTAAATAGTGTCTCCTTGCAGAACACAAAGGCAGCATATTTTGTTTTTCTGTGGGGATAAACACCAGGAAACAGTAGGATTAGCATGTGAAATGTTTTAATAAACTCAGTCCTGTACAGCTGATTGTGGACAATAAAAACATGTAAAATATGTATTTTTACTCCGAAACAAGAGAGCAGAGATATATATAGCATTATATATTTCTGCAGTATCATTCGACATATCCCAGGCATATCTATAAAAACTTGAATAATTCCAAAGTATTGCTGGGAAAGTTAAATTAATCTGATGACATCATTGGTATAGCTACTGTATAGTTGCATGGAAACCAGGTCTATGACAATTAACAAATGACATTGACATGGCTTTCTTTGGAAAATTCTAAGGCTTGTACAATCCATGGAAGGTCACAGGAATCATTATCTCCACTTCTGCCCGGGCAATCTCCGTCAGGTCCTTGGCGTTCAGTATTAGGAGGTAGCCCGGTCTCTGAGCTCCAGGACTCACCACGATGGTCAGCAAGACCCCTGGGGAAAGCAGACCACACACAAAGTCTTCTTACTCAGTGCACTCACACATTGTGATGCAACAAACCAATGGCAAGACAAACAAGCTTCATGCCGTTTTCTAGAATCTTCTGCCAAAGCAAAGACCCCTACCGTCATCTTCCTCCACACTGTTTGGGGTCTGCACAAACAGGGGCTCTGAAGGATAAGTGTCTGGCTCCTGCCAAACCCACGTCTCCTTGGTCTTCACGTTCAACTTGCAGATCTTGGAACAAACCAGCATGGGTTAGATTTGACTTGTAAAACAGCATAGCTGTTCATTTCATGGTGCTAGATAATATAGGCAGTCCCCAGGTTATGAATGAGAAGCCTGACTTTAAGTTGAATTTGTAGGTTAATATTAATAATAATAATAATAATAATTAAGAATAATAATAATAATAATGATGATGCAGGTAACTATGTACAGTACTGTACTGTGCCTCAAGCCAATAGGTCACTAATGCCGTACATTTTTTTTCATGAGCATCACAAAATAGTGTGTACATTCCTTATTATGAACCATTGTATTTAGCTAAAAAATTTAATGAAATAGGTCTTATGGCAGTCCGTTCATAAGTACAAGTTGTCCGTAAGTCGGACATTCTTACCCTGGGGACTGGCTGTACACAATAGTGTTTAAATCGATTGTCAATTTTGATATTGTTTTATGGTTTGAATATTGCTGAGGTGGCAATATATATTGAAAGAAAACATTAACAAAACAAACCATCCACTTTCGAAAAAAAATTAAAAGATGTATTTCAGATTTCATAAAAAGTGTTAAGATTAAACTAATTATGCACATAAATTTAATGTGGTCTAAGAGAATTGGTTTGGAACAATAAAGTATAAAACTGTTAAACTTGAATAAAGATATTTGATGTCACTACCCACCCTGTCAGGAATGAAATGGTTTAGTCCAAGCCCATAAGCATATGTGTAGTTCTTTCCACAAAACCTTTTGTAGTTGATTTGGGGAAACTCAAAGGCTACGCAAAGTAACAAAAACATAATGTTAAACACACTGATCAGGAAATCCCATTCAGAGTGACTCATCTACATAAGCTTTAAACATAAAGGATACAGACAAATGTATATGATGAATAAAGAATCATTAGAAAAATCTTCCCCAAAGAGGTGCTGTTAGTCAAGAAACTGAGTTTAAAATGTGACAGAAAATATTATAAGAACATAAGAAATTTACAAACAAGAGGAGGCCATTCGGCCCATTAAGCTTGTTTGGGGAGAACTTAACTAATAGCTCAGAGTTGTTAAAATCTTATCTAGCTCTGATTTAAAGGAACCCAGGATTTTAGCTTGCACTACGTTATCAGGAAGACTATTCCATATTCTGACTACACGCTGTGTAAAGAAGTGCTTCCTTAAATCCAGTTTAAAATGTTCTCCCCCTACATCATTATTGTAAATAATGCTGGATGTAAAATAAAAAAAACAACAACATAACCTTTACTTTGGTCACCTGGTAAATACTGTATATTTTTTTGCTGATCTCTTCTCCTCACCTTGGCGTGAAGCAGAGAACAGAACCTCGGGTTCCAGCCAAATGGTTCCATCATTGCGCATCACAGCGGTGGCTGTCGTGTAAGGAAGGGAAATGAGGTTCTTACCTTGCTCCTCCTGTAGGGCGGTGAAAAGAAAACAGGTCATCTTGTTGCAATGGGCAGCGTAAGAACCTATCAGGAAACAGGAGAGAGTATGCGAGGTGGAACGTCTTACCCTGTATACGTCTAGCGGAACGACGTATCGCCGGACTTCCGGCTGAGGGGCCACCATAGCTGCCTGTTTCACCTCCTCCCAGTTTTGCCGCAGGTTGGCCAGGTACAAGTAGTTGTAGACAAACTCAAATCTGAATGGAGCCATCCAAGATGAGAACTTGTGAGTGCATGTTTTCATGGAGATCCAAGCTAACTATGGCTCCCAGGTCACCATCCTACCTACCCTTTCCAGGTACAGAGGTCAATCACGACAAAACCCTGGTCTTCATAGCAATTAATGTGATGGAAGAGGTTCATCGCAGATGTTCTGAATTTGACGTCTAAATATTTGGCAGGATTTCTAGAGGCCAGATGGATCCACGTCTAAATAAATTTAAGGCAAGTTTAGTCAAAGCATGTATTTTGTAACATCAAACCTCAATCAAATAAAAACTATTAAATATAAATTAATAAATTGACTTTGAAAGGCCAGCAAGGTGAACTGAAAACAAACCCCCATGGTCTCGTTGACCTCAAAGCAGTCCATGTAGTTAGTGCCCCTTATGCTCCAGGCACTCAAGAACTTCAGCATGTTGATCTTCACGGGCGTCTCCACAAAGACAAAGTGGTTCGGCGTCATGCCAAAACTGTGAAAGGAAATGTCCATCACTGATCTACATCTATATCTACATCAACAGTCTTGATTTCCTGGGCTTAACTCCATCGAAGGTCTGAATATATCATTGCACAGTTCCTCCATTGTAAATTCTAGTACATGTCTTTAACTCTTCTATATTATCTATATGTAAAAAATTGTTCAAATAAAAATAAGTCTATGAGATTGAGGAGCATGAGTCCTGTCTCACAGTCATGCAGAGATGCCCAGGTTATCAGACGAGGTAAGGAATGAGAACAACAGAAGGTCTCCTTAAATTCAGTACATTAGCAAACTTCACATCCAGTGTTGCAAGATCAGTAGTGTAGGGGTCGTCTTGCTGGTTAGGAACATTATTCTTTTTTGGCACAATCTAAACATTTGACCACTTCTGTGAAATGAACATTGGTAGACTGTTTTACACGTTAAAATGGTAGGTTACCAGTTACGGTAAAACAACCGTGTGGCTCCCAACGTCCACGTCTTTATTTTCACATTCAAAAAAAAAAACTTTATTGCTCCTCTGACCCATATCCCTTACGGCAGTCGCAAACCAAATAAACTAACTGGAGAAGCACTTTCCTGTATGATATGCTACATACATTTCAAATTATAATGGCAGGTTTAAAACAACATATTCTAACCATTTAATTAAACAAAAATGACACCATTCTGCATAAATGGATATAATACGTCAATTATATCATAAGTCAGATATAATACGCTACAGCAGCTCAATATTGTCACCCAGTGACCAACCTGTGAACATAGGATGGTTTGAATCGCTCACTGCTGGGAAACTGGACCACCACTCTAGACTTCTCGATGGGGTCTGATTGGTCTGCAAACAAATTTCACCATGATCAGAGACCTGGAGGACTCATTCAGATATTGGGGAGATACTTGGGATGTGGAGTAATCCCTGAGTACTGAATGCGTAATCAGCATCAAAAATACTGACCTTTCTGGGCAGGAGGGATGCTTATAATATTGTAGGCCAGTGAAGCACCCTTCCCCATACAATTCCCAATGTTATACACGGTCCCATCTGTGTCAATATGAGGGTGGGCTGTTATCCCGTTGATCGACACATACTTGCACATGTCCACCTGAGGAGGAGGTAATTGTAGATGTATTATGCAACAGTATTGCTTGGCTGAATAAATACCTGAAAAACAGGCGAGTTTCTAGCCTGAGAGAAACTTAAGAGCGTCACCCATTTGAAGGTGGTGCGGAGAACATCAGTAATGAAGGGTGGAAGGAGCACCTGGAGGTGGTACCTTTTCCAGGGTTGCCAGGGTCTCAGGGTTGACTTTGGTGATATAGTTGGTTTCTGTGCAGGCGTAGAAGTCCTCGCCGATGGGGTACACGTTGACCAGGCAGTTGTCCGTCACTTCCACGCCTTTAAAGTAGGAGAAAAACCTAAAAACGCAAAATCAAGCACAGTGGGACGTCTGGGAGGTGCCACCCGAGGCCCGTTTGGCTGTCATCAGTGGGGACAAAATCCTGTCCTTCCACACTGATGCCAGGCGGCCTTCTGGGTTCTAGAGTAAGGAGGAAAAGGAAGTTGGGGTGGGACTGGCCTGGAGAAGATGTTTTTGCAGGGGTCGGGGTAGGCGAAGGTGCCGAACTCGGTGATGACGATGCGCTTCTCTGTCATGGCTCTCACATATGCGTCGGTCTTTATAAACCTGTGGAGAAAGGAGACACGACCATGTCACACATCTGCATATCCCAGTCCTCTATAGGCTACATTATATGTATACAGTATAGCTACAGGTGCCTAGTTATAACTTTATTTTTAGATTAATTCTAGCTGAGAAGGCCTGTAGCAGCTGCATTGGGATAGCAGGTGATGCGTTACCTGCGGAAGTAGGTGACCTTGCCGTCTTTGAAGTCAAACTTGTGCATGATGGCTAGTCCATCAAAGAGGTGGTAGAAGGGCTCGGAGCCCACCTCAAACAAACCGGGCCCCAGCCGGAGGAGACTGCCGCTCAGCCACGGGGGAATCCGGCCTGGAAGCAGACGGGGAACCTGAAAGCCAGCTTCTCCACCAAGTAGCACCGTTTTGTTGCTATGTAAAGGGAAGCTTTAAGACTTTGGATAGCATGTCAGTCTGGTACAGGGCTCACATACTTATGCACAATCACACAGCACCGGCAGTTTAGAGACACTAGTTAACGTAACTGCATCTTTTTGGATTGCAGGGGGAAACCAGATTACCCAGAAAAAACATGCAAGGTTTGCTTAAAACTGAGACTAATCACTGTATCTATCATGTTGCACCAATTGCACCCCACATAAAATTAAATTATACTGTATTGTTACAGCTCTGGAAAAAAAATTAAAGATCACGGCAAAATTTTCAGCTTCTCTCATTTCTCAGTTTATGAGTAGGCCTACTGTATGTGCCTGTGCAAAATATATATAATTTTTTTGTTTTGCAAACTCCAGCCTGGCTCTTCCCTGCTTCTCACAGATGAAGGTGTAGCCTTCTGCCAGCAGAACCAGCATTAAACCAGGATTTATGAAGGCTGAATTAAAAAAAAATATAGAGCGGTCTCATCATTTTTACCAGAGCTGTATATTTGGAAATGTAGCTTGTTTTAGTCATATCAACGCATAATAATTATTTATTGTATATGTATTTATTATCTTTTTGTAAATGTATTTATATATATATATATATATATATATATATATATATATATATATATATATATATATATATATATATATATATATATTACAATTTTATTTTCCATTTATCCAACAAATACAACATGCACAGAGGCTTACACGGATATTTAACGCTTCACTTATTCGTCATATTGAACTGGGGATAATAATGGGATGAAGGAGGGGGGCGAAACACCAGCACACCTGTCACCTGGGCCGCAATGGGCTCAGCCAGCTCCTCGCAGGTCTCAAAGATCTTCCTGTACCCTCCGGCGGGATGCTCTACTCTGGTAACAGGACATTACAGAGTCAGGACAGGCTGAAAAGCCAAATGCAGACTCAGTATGGAATTACATACAAATGTGCTTCAGTATATTCATGAGACCTCAGGACTTCATAGAACATGCATATTACCCTATATTATACAGAGGTAGATAGTTCAGGTCCAGAAAGTAAAAATTCAGGCTAAGATTTTGTTTCAACCAACCAGTTGAGTATAAAGAGTCATAGTCACAGAGTACCCAACTGGTTGGTTGAAACAAAATCTTGGTCTGGATTTTTATTTTCTGGACCTGAACTTTCCACCTCTGATGTCATATATTATGATGTTACTATAAATTAATGTGGAGAGTAAACACTCACCGGCTAACCATGGTTGTCTGCTTGGGGAGCGCAGCCACGGCCGACTCGGGTCCAAAATGAAAGCCTGAGCGGCCCAGCAGCCTAACAGAGGCTATTTATACGTGTTCGTGTCTTGGCTTCCACGATCCTGGTGGGAACAGAATGCCAGCCAATCCAAATGCCTCCGAAACAATAATCCTTTTGTCCTCCAAACTAGAGCTTTCCATTGATAATCAGACTGAAAGCACAGTGTTGCCCTTAGACGGATTTACCTGACCCTAATTATGTCCAATATCGGCTCTGTGCTCATCCGCCTTTAATACCCTGAAACAAATACTTACTCACCAACCTATGTAATGTTTGGCTTGGCTATCAAATGAAATGAGAATGGAAACTGATTATATGTTACATTCTTGGGCAATAGAAGATGGCAGGCTAATTGATAAATAAAAACAGGGGATTCTTATTCGGAGTGACCTTTGCAAAGGTTACTGTTAATATTACCACTCGCATTTGGTCCTTTAGATTATGCCTATATTAAGGTATAATGATATTGTAAGGCTGGAGGCCTTGCAGGCCCTGTCGGTCTGAGCTCTGGCAAGCCTGTAATGCTCAACCCAGTGTCCTGGGCAAAGGTCCACCGGCTCCGACAAGACTGGACCCAAATCACCCGATCACCACATGAAAAGGGACACCTCACCCCCACTGGGCAGCCAGAACCCTGCAGCCAAATTCCAGTGACAAGGCCTGGCTGCGTCAAGAAACAGATGCATCCTACACTCGCTAACTCACACCAATACACGATGTATTACCCCAGACTAACATTAGGGACACACACACCCATGTTTGGTCTCGTTTGAATGGTCACAGTACGACGGGCACAATACTCTCAACCTTAAAGCATTATGTTCTCACATAAGAGAAATATAGAATGTAAGAATAAACCCACCAAAGTGGAGGATCTTATCACCTGGTAGAACAAAGGAATTGTCACATTCTTGCTAAAGCAATTTGATTGGCTGAGGGTCTGAGAATTGATAAGATCAACAGTTCTCCAGGACACACACACAAGATCAGAGCAGGCCCTAAAATAATCAATCACAACCTTTGATACAGTCTGTCACTTGGTTTGGAATACTTAAGGAAGAGCTCCAGAGTAGCTTGGGGAGTCACTCTGTAATCAGAGCTCCCACATAGTGCTATATGAATCTACATCTGTAATCAGATATTATCTGCAGTTACTATGTGTCCACTCAGCTGAGGTATGGAATTGTTGTATACTTTTGATTCGATTATATAGTTTAGGACTTGTGGCCACATGTTAAAATTACTGTAATGTTATATTTGGTTAAATTGATGTGATATATATTAATTGTGAATAAACTGTGTTTTGATTATTTCTTGGCTGTCTCACTTTGCTAACCTCTGCATGTTTCTCAGAGACTGGGGTTATTCTAACACTCTCTTGCAGCCTCTGACTCGACCCCGTTTCCCCGAGACCCGATGCGACTGCCCAAGTTAAGTGACAGTGAATACCGGCTCAGCCTCTGAGGCGCGCACACGCTAGGTTACGGCAAAGACCGGCCCAGCCTCTGAGGCGCGCACACGCTGGGTTACGGCAAAGACCGGCCCAGCCTCTGAGGCGCGCACACGCTGGGTTACGGCAAAGACCGGCCCAGCCTCTGAGGCGCGCACACGCTGGGT